TAATAAAAGCTTAACCAGTTAAAAGAGAAATGAAATTTTTATAATATTTATTACAGTTTTAACAATTAAATTAGTAAAAATGACGTAAGTAGATAGTTTAAAAATCCTAATTTAATAGTAAAATTCTTTATTCTCTTCTCGCATTTCCTTATTTCATTACACAAAATAAATAAAAAATTGGAAAATAAAAAAGAAATGTTATTATTTATCATTATTATAATGATTATCGCTTTTATTATTAGTTTTCTATGCGAATATTTATTTTCAAAGATAATAGATGATTCCAAATTGAGAAACCTGTTTTCATCAATAGAACAAAATCATCAAAATCATCAAGACAATTACAACAACAACTGCAACAATGATAACAATAATAATATTCTTAATAAAAATCCGAATTCATTGGAACAAGTAATTCATGAACACTATAGTGAGGACGATAATGATGAAGGTAAAGAGAAAGATCTTGATTGTGATGTAAGAGAAAATGATGATAAAGATGATAAAGATGATAAAGATGAGAAGGATGAGAACGACAAAGAAAGAAAAGAAGTTATTGCCGATGTTGAAGATAAAAATAGAGAGATTTTGAAATATGGATATTATTATTGAACTTCACGTATGTGATTTGCAATGGGGAATTAATTTTTTAAAAAAAATAATAAATTTATTCTTACTGTATTTAATTTCAGAAAAAAAAATAAATAGAGGTGTTTATATATGTATTGATCCCCATTTTTCGATTTGCTTTCTTACGGACGGAAAGATTGAAAATCCATAAAGAAAACTTTCTGGCCTCAAAACAAAATATTTATTACACGCGTCCAAAGTCTTTCTAGAATCAACAAATATATTTTTTCTCTTTTCTGTTGGATTAAGTGATGTTGCAGTTTAAAGATTAGGATTTCTTGTGAGATGAATATAATACAATTTATAAAGTTATTCAAGTCATTTGAATATTCGAAATATTTAACAAAAATTAATTAATTAAATAATATTAATTAATAATTAATTAATATTAACAATTAATGATATTATCTGCTTGCTGTAATAGTAAAGTGATTAGCCAGGTACGATGATTTTCTGCTGTGATAGGACCTTCAATTATGTGATACCTTTCTTTGATAATTTTTATAAAATTTAAAATAATCAATATAAAATACAACGAAAAACTCGTTCTACACTACAACTAGAAATTGGAAGTCATATATAATCTAATGTAATATTAGCATAATTACAAAACGTAATCCTTCTATCCTC